TCCGGGGGCTGCTGTTGGCAAACCACACAGCCCCATCTGTGTTGCAACTGTCTGAACGTGAACCCAGAACAGTCTCAGAGCCAATCCATATACTAATTCATACAAAACCTCAATTCCTCCCCGTTTGGAGCATAAAGTAAGCACACAGAAATTCTAATATTATTATTCTCACATCTCAACTGCCTTGCGTCATGTCACTTTGTAAATTATTGACACAGTGAAGGGGCACAGAGCTTCGCCATCTATATTAGGTGCTCAGGGTTTGAAGTTGTAGCTTCTAGAATAAGGATATATTACAGAGAAGTACTCAATGAGGGACGTTCATTGAACTGAATCGGTATTGGTCAAACGATGGCTCTAGATCAACAGAAATAAGTTAAATTATGTGCAGTATATTACGCTTAAGGAAACAGGACAGGAATCCAACTTGTTATATTGGGATATTTCCAAAAGAGCCTTCACATACTCAAAAAATTTACTGATTTAGAATGACTTATTCCCCAGTATTTCCAGTTACCATGAATTCTACAATCACTTTCAATTTTTTCCCACAGAATGAGTGGAATTCTTAAAAAAATATATATAAGAAGCATATATTTCAGTCTCCTAAAATATTTACTGTTCCTTATTGTGAAAATTAGAGCCATTATTAAGCAAACACTAATTTAAAATAATTTCAAGCCTTAATAATAGAAATGCATGTTTCATATTCAAAATGGTAACAGAAGACATCATACACTCCATATTTAACACCATAATTAGCAGCTGTAGTATGGGACAATATTTACTTTTTCTATAAATAACAAGAAAATAATGCTCCATGAGTAAAGAAAATTCACTCATTCATTTTTAAACACCTATTCTGTTTTTAAAATCACGGGAGAAATAAGACACATATCTATATAATTTAATATCGTGTAAGAAGAATCTCAAACACACTGACAGAAGAGGATTGACACCTGAGGGCTAGAAATGAATTAAAAGCCGTTTTCACAGGAGAGGAACATGAGCTGGAGTAGGATTCAGGGCTAGAAAGGAAAAGGCATTCAGAGCGGAGGTAAATTGTCTTTTGTTTTCTTAATAAAAAATGTCTAGTTCGGAAAACTGGAATGTAAGACAAATTCAAGGAAAACAATTTAGAAGAACATTCCATTTGAGATACATCATTTAAGTTGTTCCTCAAGTCACATGTAAACGTACTTATCTACTCTTCAGCTTCATAAAACCTCTCCACGTATACTTGAAATAAGACTTCCAGCAAGAGAAAGAAAAATTAAAAAGAGCTGTAAGTAAAGGGAACATTTGAGGCACTAGATCTTCTTTTTTCAAAGTTAAAAATGTTCTCTTCTCTGGGCCTTTTTCTAGCAGAACCTCTTCCCCTCGTGTACTCTACATCTGTCATGTTACTTTAACTTGGAAAGGTGATAAAAGTTCACTTTGAAAGGAAATTCATTTAGCAATTTCCTGTCCACCAGAGGGCTCCCATATTTCTCTACAAACGGAAGAGATACAACATTACAACAAAAATAGTCATTAAGCACAGAAAAAAAAGCAAATTCTCATTATCTTATTTAAACTCAGATTAAAAGTTGTTATATTTGTTACAATTTCTACATTAATAGATTAAGAAGATACAGAGCTTTTCTCTAAGAGTTTTATCATCTAAAATGTTTCAAATACCAAAATTGCTTTCCTATTATTCTCACACGGCCAATTTCTTTCTTGGGTAGGGTTTTCAATTTTATAGCTGTCATAAAATATAATTTTAGTCCAAGGCTCTAAATAGTAGCTCAAATGTTTTATATAATACTTTCATAAATACAGCAGTTTATTTTTTGATAATTTTCCCAGTCCAGAACATAAAATTATCATGTTATCTACCCAGCCTTAGGCCTTACTATTAACAGAAAGAGTACATATTTTCTTTCAGAAAACCCCAAGTCATTAACATAATTCATCCTACAATTATTAACAATGAATACTGCCCCATCATGAATTATGATTTGGGCTGGGAGAAAAAAAATAAAGGAAATGAATCACTTAAATACAGTGTATTACAATGATATTCTGTTCAGATATTTTTAGATTTTTTTCACAAATAAGTTATTACACTGGAATGGTAGTAAATCTCTTAGTTCAAACTCAATCGTTCTTAGCAAAAGCAAAACCAGTATTTTACATATATACACTTATTTATAGAACATATTTACAGAATGTTAATTGCTAAAGTACCAACTGTAAATTTTTTTTTACAGAGTAGAGCAAATCCATTCACTAGGGGTGCCACTCCCCCTCCAAACAGATCGACTTGCTAAATTCGGATTATAAAAAAAGAGACTCCTTATGGTAAACACCAAAATTTACTGAATGTTTAGAAATAAATTTGAAATGTGGGTTATATTTATAAATCAAAAAAGATGCTAAAAAAAGCCTATTTTAAAGTCAGTCACAGCACAGCCATATAGACTTTATCAAAAACAGCAATTGATTTAGCAATTACTGCAGCTCAAGGATGAATTATCTTTAATGAAAACATGACCGAGGCTGTAATTCCACTGCCCCACCTCATCTCCCAACTGCGATTTTCCTTTACTACAGACAAGCATCATTAACATGTAAAAGAGCGTAACATTTGTTTCTACATGGCACATACTAGCTAGCTGTCACCACTCAGAAACTTGAAAATTTTACTGCACCTAGCAAAAATGTATGTATTGACACTTGCAAGAGTACGTATCCTGATCGATTTGTAGTTATGCTGCAAAACAAAGGTCAGATTATGGAAAGCGGTGGGTGTTGGGCAGGATTCAAAGTGGAAAAACTGTTCTCACTTTAAAGTAAATGCAAACTATCAATTACTGATATGAAGAGTTTAACAAATACAAAGATTTTACTCAACAACTTCTAACCAGTATCAGTCATGTTATATTTCAAAAAGTTGCGAATTCTAGGCACATACCTAACGAAGGCACTTTTTAAGCAAATGTAAGTAACAGCAAATGAAGGTTTAAGAGGTTGTGACATATGGGGAAAAAAGCCTCGAGACTTTCAGCAAGTTGAGCAGCTAGAAAACGAGACATGAAAAATACTCGGAACAATCTCATCTGAGCTGTAGATTAGGCACACTCTGAGACAGCATCATCGGGGCATTATATGTTTATTACATAATACTGCTTTGCCCTTGTATATCACCTTTAATCAAGGGATCTCAAAGCACCACCAAATCAAGGCCTTAAAATACAGTCTAAAGCAGAAATAGTTACATTTTATAATTGCACCTATTAATAAAACCCTGCCACTAGCTCCCGTCCCCCCCATCCGAGTATTAGCTTCCGAACCTCCTCTCTGACTCGGAAACCGTATTCCCCAAATCATTTCAGTTTGTAACTGATGCTACGCACATTCCAGCTTCTCTTCAGCAGTGGGCCTAAAGAAAGTAGAGGCACTGTTTTAATGACACAAATCTATTTCATTACAATTTCTGTGACGGAACAAATGGTACGTAGAGTGGACATATCTTGCCCTGTGCGTGATGATATAAAATGGAGGCTTTGGAGAACAAATCTTTGCTGGACGTGATGAGCCCCCAAAACACTCAACTAACAGGGCAAATAGCATTTTCCAGCTCAGCCCAGAGACCTTTCTAGGCAACTTCAAGAGTGGAGTAGAGGGAAACCATATCCAACTATCCTTAATGGGGCAGGAGACTATTCTCGTGTGTGTGTGAGGGAAGGGAAAACTAAAGGGACAATGCGTGAGGTTTAAGAATCAGGAAGGAGAGTGTAAGTTGCTGTGTGGCCACACAATAAACAGAACATTGTGGTCCCTATACAGTAAAATAGCATATTAAATGACAAATCAAACATAAGCAAAATGGCTTTTAGCCAAGGTCAAAAGTGCCATTTACAGCCATTGAGGCTTTTTTTTTTTGAGTCTGTAAATGAGGTTTGATCCTATAGAAACATTGACGTTTTAAAATTTAATCAGCAAAGTTCAATTGTTTTTTTCATGGCAACACAACGAACACTCAAATGTTAATGTTATGTTAACTTCAATTCTTTCATAAACAAGATCATTAATCTTCCTGTTAATTGCATTATGTACTTGTCCCTAAAACTGCAAAGTGTAATTTCAATTCACACAAACCCACCAAACCCCAGCCTGTAAGCCTGCACGGTTACTGTTATTCAACAGACTCGCAATATTAACAAACATTAACCTTTAGAAACACAAAGAAATGCATCAATAAACAAGAGTACTTTTTGTTTCAAGTTCTCAACATTCAAGGATCAAGGCTCAATAATTAAGGATCAAGGCTCAATAATTTGTTTTATTAGCTTTGAAAAGTCCAATGATGCAACACCAGCAAATATTTGGTACTAAAAGTCCTGAAAAATCCATACGAAGCACCAACATATCTAGATTTGTAAAAATTCCAAAACATCTTAATATTTCTGTTGCTGTACTTGTTCTCCCAGACATAGTGAAAAGCTCATGGCAGATTCTAGGAGACTTTTTCTTGAAGACGCACACGACCCTGCGCTTGAAAACATCAAGTTTGTATCTGCTGCATTAATGATCCCGTCAGTGTCAGAGAACAAGATTCCCCTTTTCCTGTCTACCTCGGTGGTATCTGGTAGGGACACCCGTTCCCCGCTCTGCCCACTGTCACTGACGTTTCCAGACGCTTTAAGATACCAGGGTTCAAAGGCTTCTAGCAGAGAGGGAGAGATTTTTCCCACTTCAAGCTACATTGCTACATTTTCCCTACTTCTCCATTGTCTTCAATGATTGAGAAAACACAACCAAATGAGAAAAGCCATATTAAAAGCGGTACTTCCTAAGAGGGGGACACCAAAACCTCCAACTTCTCCAAACCCCCCAGCGCCGTGGCGTTTCCACAGTCCCCCGCAGACCGTCGCCCCGCGCCTGCATCCTTTCCGATTCAGTAAGATTGGAAACCACAATTAAATCAGTGTCGTAACTTATCCTCCACTTACCATATCCGCCGGGACATTACTGGACATCTTGCCGTTTGAGATTCACCCAGATGTTTATCGGGGGGAGGGGGGGGCGAAAAACGACAACAAGCAAAAAAGAACAGAAGTCTTGAAGCTACAGAAATCAGCCTTAACGATCTTGATTGGTTCGTGATGTGCTTTCCCCAAAAAGAAGTTCCTCGGGAGCCGAGGTTGGAGGAGGAGCGGTCCCCGCGGCTGGGAGGCCGGCGCCGGAGGGAACTCCCGGGACGGCCGCGGCAGCGCCCGCCGTCAGCAGCAGCAGCAGCAGCAGCAGCGGCGGCGCCAGGACCGGCCGCGCCAGGTGCACCGAGCCGAGTGACACACGGACATGGAGCGGGTGGGAGGGGGTTAAATCCGCCTTCCTCCTCTCCCAGCCCGGCAGTGATTCACACTTGCTCCCGAGTCAAGTCCTCATTAAGCAGGAGGAAAATGCCCCGGCGTGGACGCACACAGATAACTATGCGGCTGCACATGGACGCGGGAGCCGGCGGTCGGCTCGGGCAAACGGCTCAACTCGCGCTGCCGGGGCCGAGGGCCGAGCCGCGCAACCCCGCGCTCAAGGGCATTGAACTAGTTGGGAGCCGAAGCGAAAGCCCGGGGCGGGGGACGCGGGGAGCTCGGGCCGGGCGGGAGACCCCACGGCCCCTCGGGGCTCAGGCCGCGGGCGCCTGCGGGCAGCGGCGGGTCTCGGGGCGCATCGTCTCCGGCTTCTCGGCGCTCCTCTCCTGCCTCCGCCACCCCCCCGGCGCCGCCTTCCCCTCCCCTCCGACGCCGACTTCGGCTGGTCCCCGGAAGAGCCCGGGTCCTCCCTCTCCTCAGCCCGGGAATGGCTTCCTCTCGCAGCTTTGTCTCTCCTCCTCCTCCTCCTCCACTTTTCAGTCTCAAACGCCGCAGCCGCCTCCTGTCATCGCCGCTCAAGCCAACATGGCGGCGGCAGCGGCAGCCGCCAGAGCGCAAGTCGGGGACACAGGGAGAGCACGGCCCCTCCTCGCAGCCGCCGCCGCCGCCCCCCCCACCCCAGCTCCGCGGACACCCAGTGCGTCACTACGGAGACCACCCTCGAGCATCATGGGAAGTGTAGTCCACGCCGTGGGGGTGGGGGGGGCGGCCTGAGGCGGCCTCTAGGGACTCCGAAGCCACGCCCCTCCTAGCAACAGTTACTAGGAAAGGAAAGCTCGCTTTAGCCAAGCTACCGTCTAGGAGTTAGGTGATACCTGCTACCAGGAGTGCTGTGAGCGTGCGAATTATTTGGAGAAAATAATTCTGCACAGAGAAATTCCCTCAAGCACAGTGAACACACAGACTAAAAATACGGTTTACCTCCAAGAAGAGTCATTCATTTTAATGACAGCGCGCTCTCCACATCCTGCAATCTCAAAGCATTTTGTATAGTGATTTCATCTACGTCTTTTCAGCATTACATTTGGAAGATCAGAAGCAATCATTGATTTCCAATAAGGTCGTAGAAGTTCAACAGGAACAAGGATCTCATTAAGCAGGGAGAATGTTTGAACATGTGTTTCTTGAAGACCTAGGGCCATAAAGCTACAATCTAGTTAATTGAAATTACTAAAAACTGTATTAGGTACAATAGTATATCATGCCAAATGTATATCAGGAAACAGCTGCTACAAACTACCTGGGGATTCACCAGTTTACCAGGCTAGCCCCTAAATTCTATTTAACTCAAAACGTAATAAAAAACCTACACACCCACAGTGATTAGCACATAGCACAAAATCGTACCATTAGTGAGAAACTTAGAGGAAGAATATGTCTGCTCCAAATTTAGGAGCAAAATTCAGAAACCACCAACGTCTACCTGACTCCCTGTTCAGATCCCTCAGTGCTTTGGCAGAGTATCTTAGCAAAGACCGTCTGAAGACAATTGTAAAAGAATGCCAACAGATTTAGAGTCTGAAAGCCACCTCTGCAACCTACAGCTAGGTGACCTCATCTGTAAAACAGTCTTGCCTACCGTCCAGTTGGGAGGATGAGTTAATGCACGGGGAGTAATCACTTTGTAAATAATAATGCATCATTTGATGTGAAATGTTACCACTCATTCCTTCAGCAAACACATGCTCCAGGCTCTCTGCTAGGCACCGGGAGTTTAAAAATGAATAATCTTGGCACTGTCCTCCGGGAACTCATTGTTTAGAAGCCTGTGTCATACGGCACAGCAATCTCTGCAATCAGGTTTGTCTCATTAGGATGGACACTCACAGGATGCTTGGAGTATTTGCCTCCTGTGTAGCCTGGCTGGAGAAATTCCTAACACTCCCAGGGACCCACATCAGCCTGTGGTGAGTTAGGGTGGTAACCAGGAAGGAGGGGGATAGCTCACATTAACAGAGAAACCAAAGGACAGAAAAAAAACAGAGGCCCAAATCTCACCACAATTAGGCATCAGGCCTTGGTCTAGAAATTCTTGATTCTCTAGCTCTCTGATCTTCCGTGGCCCCTGGTAGTTGGTTGATGCTCCTCCATGGTTAGCTACCACAGAGCTGCTCTCACCAGTCCTCCCAGAAGAAGGGCAGTTGAAAATGCTGCAGGTGGTCAGGGATATCCGAACACATTTTGAACTAAACTCACAAAGTTAGTTATCCACCACTCCCCTAACTCCAACTTTTATCCAATGGCTGCCCTGGCCAACGCTGTGCTAGCCCTAAATGCAACTGGACTAGGAAGGCAGGAAGCAGAGGATGGCGGACTTACAGAAACTGCGGCTCACACTTCCTCTGTGGCTTTCTAATAGCCATGCAGCAGCGGACAGCGGACGTCGTGACACCCACTGCCAGCCCAAGACCTTGGCGTTTCGGACCCATGAAGTGGCTGTCCGTTGCCAGGCACCTCTGCCGCCATGAAAACAGGCCACATCTTTCAAAAGCAAAACCACTGCACCTAGCTGTGTTTCCACTCACTCTCTTAAGAGAGGCAGAGACGTTATTCACAATAAAACTCATTATAACTCTCTCAACAGAATCTAAGGCATGAGGGAGCATTAATGAACACAGTTTCAAATTCTCCTACTTTTCTCTATTTACTCTCTGCTTCCTAACTTGGATGGGTGAGAATGGGGGCTGAAGAAAGAGCCTGGTCATCCCTGATGGGGAACAGTAATATCTTCTGATAACTATTCATCTACTGTAAGCATCAGTTCGAAGAAAGTGAGACACAGTGTTTTTGAATCAGCAAAAATAACTTCCCAGGAAATCAAAAGATTCCTGGCTCTGTCGTGAATTAGCTGTATCGCCTTTTCCAACACACTTTGCCTACCTGACCCTCAATTTCTTCACCTGAAGAGGTAGGACTAAATCTCAAAGGTCCCTTCTAAGAGTCTCTGAGTATTGAGTGACACCTAGGGCCTGTTAAAACTATCTTCTCCGAGTGCTTGGTCATGGGTATGAGGAAGGGTTTTTTGGGGGGAGGAGGGAAATATTTTAAAATTAGATTATTGCAATGGTTGCACAACTCTGTATACGTACTAAAAACCATTAAGTTGTACACTTTAAACGGATGACTCTGTTTTTTATTTTTATAATTATGGTAAAAATACACATAATACAAACTTTGCCATCTTCACCATCTATAAATGCACAATTCAGCGGCACTAAATACATTTATGTGGTTGTACTCCCATTGCCACCATCAGTCCATGCAACGCTGTCATCTTGCAAAATTGAAGCTTCAAACCCATTGAACAAGTCCCCATTTCCTCCTCCCTCTAGCGCCTGGTAACCACCATTCTACTTTTTGTCTCTATTAATGTGACTACCCTTGGTACCTCATGTAAGCAGAATCAGACGGTGATCGTCCTTTTGTGATGGGCTTATTTCACGTAACAACGTCTTCAAGGTTCATCCGTGGTATAGCACGTGTCAGAATTTCCTTCCTTTTGCAAACTGAATAAATATTCCATGGAGTGGGCACACCACATTTTGTTTATCCATTCATCCACTGATGGACATTTAAGTTGCTTCCACCTTTTGGCTATTGCAAGATAGGTAATTTTTATGATACGTAAATTGTATCTCAATGAAACTGTTAAAAATCTATCTTCCCCCATCTGCCGTGGTAGGGGTCTGAAATCATTCCCATCTTAGGATCTTTCCTTAAGGGTCTTCTCAAGGAAATTCATGAATTTTAACTAGACAGAAGTATTACTTTCTATGACACTGATAACCTTTAATCAAGTAATTCTTTGGTTGATTATCTAATTATACCATTCGTTGTCAGTTATTAAAGCTCTGGGAGTAGGAAAATGCCACAAGAGGCAGAGAATGGTCTCCAACAATGCCTGGGGGTATGGGGGGAGGGGGGGCAAGGGGACACAGACACACCAGTACTGCCAGGAAGAAGAAACAAGAGCCCTGAAGACAATCTTTGCCACGTGTGTCCAACTTTGCCCAAGGCCGACCTGATCCTCTTTAGCTCCTGTGGAAGAATCATTTTGAAGGTTCATTTTGTAAGATTCTACCTTTCTTTCTCTTGAGAAAGTCTATAGGAAGCCCCCTAATACCAATATAAAGACCCCTAACATACAAGGGGGCTCAAGAAATGTTAATTCCCTAGCACAACTGCCCAAGGTCTTTTCTCTGAAAGTAGAGATAATTTGCTTACTGATTTAGTAATGAACTTGCCCTCTGCCCTTTAGTCTTATACTCTTGTGGGAACAGAAGGAATGTATGAGTGCTTCTGGTTTGCAAATTGCAATCTGGAGTTTGGGATATGAAGAATAGAATTAAGTTGTGTAAGTCAAGGGAATAGATGGGACCTTAGGGCTGACTTAATTTTACTCCCAGGAGTTTCCCCCCACCACACACACACACACACAAACACACACTGCAAGTATGGCCAGCCCTTTGAACCCTTTACCTCCTTGACCAGAGATTCTCAACTTGGTCCTCATCAGTCACTAGGAGCCATTTAAAAAGACAGATGCCTGAGCTATAGCCCAGAACAACTAACTCAGATTTCTCCAGAGCTGGGCCTGGACCTCATATTTTTCAAAGTTTCCCCCAAGTAATTCTCATATGCAGCCACGGTTGAGAAACACTCTATAAGCTAAATACCTTCAAGTCCAGTTCCCTCCTTTCACCGCATCAAGGTTCCTTTACAGGACTGATAGCCTGAAGGTACTGTGATTTGTCAAGGTGACCTTTGGCCGGCCACAGCCATAGTGGTTTAAGGAATAATCTTTCACACTTGTCTCCCCACCACCCACTGTACTCATTTAGCCACCAGGGCATTGATCAGAATATAGCCCAAGTCTCTCTATCTGAAGGCATTTCTCTCCTTTGCTCAGTCTGGTAAGAGATAGAGACAGAGAAAGTGAAAATTAAAATGCCATGTGATGAGTTGATAAATGCCACCATAGGAAGAAGCTCTGGGCACCTATGTAAAAACATAGGTGATAAGGAACATTTGGCTTTGAGGTGTCTGGAGTTGAACAAGATGAAGGCCAGTGGAGCAGCCAGGATGGTCAGGAAGAGACTACACAGGTGAAGACCCAGACTAGAGGCTAAGGGGTGCAGAAAGGGGACGTAACTGAAGGTCAGGTTGATACTTGGGAGTAGGGACAGGGGTGTGATAAGCAAATGGTAATAAAGACAAACTGGAGGCAAGTCCCCCCGGCCATTGACCTCACCTGTGATATAGCCCATCTCTCTTGAGCTTTGGCAAGCTTTGGCTCTCTTGAGCAAGTCGGTTGAGCTTTGCAATTTAGACTAAGCAGTTTGGATTTACCATGAGAGCAAATGGAGCCAAAGGAAAGTATCATGATAAGATTTGTTTTCATAGAAAGATGGAAAAGGCCTCAAACTCTATATATAGCTCCAAAAACAGGGACTTTTAGTCATTCTACTACATGACATATGTATGACATATATTCAGCCCAGGATATATTTTCTCTCTCCTTTTTTTTTTTTTTTTTCGGTTCCACATATGTGAGATCACACAGTATTTGTTTTTCTTTTGACACTTTTTAAAAGTTTATTTATTTATTTTGAGAG